GTCCTGGAACTAGCTCTTGTAGACCAGGCTAGGCTCGAAACTCACAGGGATCCACCTGTCTCTACCTCCCGAGTGCTGGGATAAAAAGCGTGAGCCACCACCACCCAGCTTCTTTCTCTCATTTTTGTGACAAACTCCTGACCATGCTTTAAGACTGTACAAACATTTTTACTGTGAAGCTTTCCCAGTCTTTTTAAGGTGGAACTTTGCCTTCCCTCTCTGTTCTCTTTATATTATGCATCTTTAAGTGAAAACTATCAATAATATTAGGGATAGTTCAACTCTGTCTGTTAATAAAACCTACTTTATTATTTAACACATCAATCTTGTGGCATAGCTCTTCTTTCTGCTCGAATATATCCCCTTTCCATCTATATTGTTTGGAATGCTAGCATTACTACAGAAGTGTAGCAAAGTATAAGTATGGTTTACCAGTAGTCAGATGTGTGAAATGAACGTTCGCTGTTATTGTTGGCTTGATAAATCTAAATGTTTTCCAAATAATTTATTATTTCAATAATGAGTCATAAATGCAGTCAAGATGTATAAAGGAAATAAATCACTGAGCTGAGAAGTGTGTATTTGATTTTTAACATATCTGGATAATAAAAAAAGAACCAAGACCTACGTGTATATCATAGTATCAACATAATTTCAATGCTTTTCAAGACCACCTCTGAAAAATGTAGTGTACTGCCAAGAAAGTAGAAACAGTTTTACCCTTTTGATTTGTGACATTTATTTACATCTATTGGTTTATTGATGGATTAATGTTGGCACTGCAGCATTCAAATAGTTTTATGTAGAGAAAAACAGCTGTCATAAGTTCGGATATAAAGAAATAATCCAAGAAAACCTGAGTCACTTGAGGTCTAATGAGGAAGGCACAAACTATTTAAATGCAATAAATTAATAGAGGAAAATATTGAACAGGGGTTTAAAGGAGTCTCTACATTAAAAAAAAAAGAGGTGTGTGTGTGTGTGTGTGTGTGTGTGTGTGTGAGAAACCTCCTAAAGATGGGTACTTATCTGCTAGGAAGGAAGTTATTATCACCTTTAGAGTTCTGGGAACAAGGAGGAATGTTCTTATCAGAACTCAGAAGTCCAGAGGAGAAATGAGGAGCTCAGGACTGGCCCTCTGAGGAATGGGAATAGTTTGGCGAGAGCTGGTATCTCTGGAAGGTCATGAATAGTCTGATATTTAAAGTATAAAACTGAAAGTCTGAATACTAATGACAAGAATGATAGTGTATAACCACCAAGGTGACGCTGTTAGGGGCAAGAAATGCGTGCACAGAAACATACTATGCCATGTTGTTAAAGTGATCATCGAACCATCCAATCTGGGATCTGTATGGTACTCTTTTAAGAACTTATTAGTAGTGAAAAAAATAGGAAGGAACCTGTGCATCTTTATAAACTTTCACTCTAAGGGGGAAAGACGATAGACATGTCTGGAGAAAATAAATGTAAATTATGTAAACAGAGTGGTATGGAGGTAGTTCTCACACAGGTGGTCCATGGAGAATTCAATGATAATCTGAGCAAACACCCAAAGGAAATAAGCGGGGGAAAACAAAATAACGATTTCTTTACTAAGAAGAATTGCATTTGCTATAACATGAGGTTGAAACTTCTCAAAGAAGACTTCTCAAAGGTAGACTCCTTTGTGGGTTTGTAGCTTGAAAATTCTTTTTGAGAATCCTGGAAGTCAAGTGGCTAACATCACCTATAGTGTCATATATGGTACTAACATTCAAACATTCCATTAACCATTGTTCATTTCCTCCATTAAGGAAAAGTTATGCTTACATGGGTTAAGCTTGCGGATGCTAGGGCCAATTAGTTAATGCATATGCTGTCCAACCTGCTCTACAAATGGCTGACTTTGTCACGGAAGTTTACTAGTCTCAAACTTCTGAACCAATTTAAAATCCACCGCACTGCACAGAATTACTTCATTGTTTACACAACAGTCTTTGATTTTAAGTTAATAGTGAATGAACTCTGATATTTGGCAAACATCTTTAAAACTAAAAGTGGGCTTGAACCCCATCAATACTTAATGTGAAACAATGAAACTGCCATTGGCATTAGAATTGGGTTACTTTTTCTTCAGATAATTTTCCTGACATGCAGATACATATTTCAATATGCAATGGTGTCAAAAACTTTAATGGATTAGTTGTGATTATTTCTTCAACCATTTTCTTAATGTGACTTTATCTGGAAAAGACAACTAAAATTTTAATAAGGCCCATTAATGGTCTCATGTGAAAGGTTTTTAAAAAATCAGTAATTCTAGTCTGGGGGGGGAAGTTTTACTATGAAATGTAGCATCTTTGTGTGTGTGTGTGCCTAGTAATAATTCCATCAGGAAAAACAGAGCTTGGTAAAGAGAATGTCACCTCAGACTGGCCATCGAGAAGACAGAAAATCACATCACCTAATTACAGTTTTACTTCAAAGAGTATCCCGAGGGCTCAGTGGTGACCACTGGAAGGCAGGGAGGCAGTCTGGCAGCAAAAACAGGCACATGCCTGGCAGGGTTTGCAGAGCACACTTAACTTCTGCGCCTAGGTTCTTCCAGCTGTCAAGTCGGGATAATAGTAATTGCCACCTTCCGTGTGACATGAACATGAGCTTTGACACCTCCGGCTGGAGATGCCACAGCAACACAGATTATTATTATTAGAGCATAAAGTATGTATTCACACAAAACACCAGCACAATGCTCTTTTTACTCATATCATGCCTATAAGTACTGTTCTTTGATGTTCTTGTTTCAATTTAGGGGAGAGAATATGATCACAGCAAGCAACTATTCACTGTCTCCATATTTGGAGGAAATGGTTTAGAAGTTCCACATCCTTTTGAGATATCCTCAACCTGTTACTTTCCTATGGTTTTTGCAGCAAATTGCACAATAGCCCCTGAATTAAGCCTTTGGCACCTTTGAAAATGTTAGCTAAATTACTTTTCCTGGAATCTGGACCCATCAGGGAAAGACTGGAGAAATGAAATTGGCTAACAATATTAAATTTTTGGTTGTTTAACATTTAACTGAATCGCAACAACGTGTTAAAGTGCTATCTAAACAGATAATTAGCTAGTAGTTGCAGCAGTGGGCTCTGCCTAAATTTAGCAGTGAAATTAGGTTTAGGGAATGTGAAAATAGGGAAAGAAATGTTCTCAAGGGAAACAGTGGTGTCAGCACAGCTGAGGAATGTCACAATAGCTACATTTTGTCAATTATGAGCATCATCAGGGGATCTCCCCAGCAATGCAGGGTAAGGTTTATTCATAAGCGAACCTTGAGGATAGGTGATAGAAAGGACTGATTGCAGGAAGGCTGGGCTGATGGAAGGAGAAAAAGGGGGAAGGGGTGGTGATAATGAATAATGGAAGTAGCCCCAGTGCTGGGAGACAACATAGGAAACAGGTGAGGAGGAAGATTGGGGGGGGGGCGGGGAAGGGGAGGGGAGTCTGAGAGACTGACTGGGTAGGATGCTGTGTGGTCTTGGAGGTGAGTAAAACATCATAAATCAGTGTGTGAAGGTGAAGAGATCCCGTAATTCAAAGTCTGAGCACAGTGTTCTCTTGGGCACAATGCAAGCTTTAGTTTAGCCGCCACAGGCTCATCTCTGGTGGCTGCTCTTATTCTCATCAGAAAGCATCTGGTGGAGATTTCAGGACCTAAGGAAAATTAATGGTGTCAGGCCTTGGGACGGTGTCCTCCGCTTCCACTGCCCCCGCAGAGGGCACAAACCCTCCATCCTTCCTCTTCCTCCTAAGACGCTAAGGTGGCTGGGGCTTCAAGGTCAAGTCACTGTGGCTGTGTGTGTGTGGTGGATAGATGAGGGCAAGCAGACAACCATTTGGGGTTGAGGGAGGGTTATGGTGACTCAAAAAAGCTCCTCTTAAGGGTAAATGTTTAATACTTCCCGAGCTCACTTTTCTGCGGATAGCTCAAAGAGAAAGAAGAAAATAAAATGACACGTGCGAACATGCAAACGATCAAAGAAAAAACACGACCGCACTCGAAGCCTTCGGAAGGGAGAAATCCATGGCCTCCTGTTGCCGGTCGCCTGGCGCAGAAAGTGGACAACCCGGCGGCCCGAGAGAAGCAAGAGCTAGAAAGCAAACCTTTCGGGGCCCCTAGTGTCCTCCGCCAGTTCCGCTGACCCTTCCACCAAACCGCCCTCAAAGAGAAAGGAGCAGGCTAAATGCCTGGGCTAACGCAGGCTCGGGACAGCGGAGAGCCGGGATGCCCCGGGCAGGAGGAAGGACTGGAGTGTCTCCCTTCTGTCTCGTGCCGGGGCGAAGAGGGAGAATGCTGGCTGGTCCAGCGGGCGGCAGGCATCCAGCTTCCCAAACAGGCACCTCCCGCTCCGGTCCCCGGAGAGTGGGTATCTGAATCCTGCCTTCCCCGCACCACCCCCTGTCGTCCCTGGTCCGGCTGGGGAACCGCACCACTCGGGAGAAGAGGGAGCCAAGACTGGGAGTCCCGCAGCCCTCCACCCGGGTGAGCCTCCGTGTGCCCCGGCCGCCACGGCCCCGAGAGGGGCGGAGTGGGAGAGACCATCTCCAGCGCTGCGAAGGGGGGAGACGAGGCGGGGCCGAGGGGCGGGGCCGCCTACCCTGGTCCAGATAGCTCTGCCTCGGGAAAAGCCCGGTTTTCCAAGTGGATGAAGTTTTTTTCTTTTTTTTTTGAAAGGGGAGGAGCGTGAGGGCAGGGCGGTGGGAGGGGCCTCGGCGGGCGGCTGGGCGTCCGGGCAGCCGGGCGGCTGGGAAGGAGGGCGGGCTCGTCCCGGCGGTGAGGGTCGGCGGCGGCTCCCCCTCCCGCAGGGCGGGGTGGTGCGTTCCGAGTTCCCAGGAGTTCGCGGCGGGCGGGGACCGCGGGGAGGGGAGTGGCGGCGGCGGCGGCGGGCGGCTCCCGCTTCAGCCTCGGCAGTGGCGTCGGCGACGGCGGAGTCGAGGCAGCCGCGAGCGCTCGGCCGAGTGGCGGCGGGCGGCGACGGCGCAGGAGCCGGGGGTTGAGGACACGCGCGCTGGCCCTTCCACGCCGCGGCCGCCGCCGCCGCCGCCACCCAGAGCCAGAGGCGCCGGGGCGCGGGCGAGCGGGTGGGCCGGGGCAGGGCGGGCATGGCGCGGACCCCGGGCCCGGCCCCGTTGTGTCCTGGAGGCGGCAAAACACAACTTTCCTCTGCTTCTGCTCCCGCGGCCGGGCTGCTGCTGCTGCTGCCGGCCCCGACGCCGCCGCCGCTGCTCCTGCTGCTCATTCCCCTGCTGCTCTTCTCCCGGCTCTGTGGTAAGTGAAGCGGGTGGGCGCGGGGCAGAGGGAGATGCGGCGGGGCGGGCGGGCGCGGGCCGCTCGTCCGGGCGGCCAGGCGAGGCGAGGCGGTTGTAGCGGGCGGTTGGCTGCGCGAGCGGCCGCCGCGGACTTTGCCTGGAAAACTTTTCGCCGCGCCCCGGGCGAGGCCCGGGAAGGGCAGGGAGAGCGAACGAGGCGCCGGCCTCTGGCTTCCCGCCCCCGAGGCCGCGCGGATCTTCGCGCTGGGCCCCCGGGGCCAGCGGTGGAGCTCGGTGCGCGGAACCCCGCGCGCCCCGGGAACCGTTACTTCCGAGCTGGTGCGCCGAAGAAGCGGAGAGCGCGGACTTGTGGGCTGAGAGAGGTTAGGATGCCGGGATGCACGTTGCCGCCTCCTCCTTTCTCTCTGTTGAAACTTGAGCCGCAAGTCCGGAAACCCTTCGGACACTAGCCTGGAGCCCTGAAGCCTTCGGGTCCAAGCCTCCTGGCCTCCGGGAGAAGGCACCATCTTAAAACCCACCCTGCGGCAGCATCCCCTTCCAGCCACATTTGAGCACTGGCAACCTTTGTATCTTTGGGTTGAGTCCAGATGCTATCCACACACAGCCTTCCAGTTGTTGGACGTCCTTCACGCTGCCCCTGCTTATTTTAGAAAACCTTGTTCTCCGGGACCCAGGATTTACCTTTGAAATACGTATTGCGTCTGCTGTCCCCTGACTATTGAAACAAGTAGCCCCGGGTTTCTCCCGTGTGTCTTTTTTCACGACATGCTTAGGAGCTACTAATTTCTTTGTAAGTTCTGTTCCCTGGATATGAGTCTAGTTTAGATTCCTACTTTCTAAAGAGGATGAAAAAAATGATAAATTCACTTTTCATGCAAGAGAAGCAGACGTGATAATCACTGATTTGGAAAGAAAGGAAAGAAAGCCACCAGTCTAGGAGAGTAAATGTCTGGGTAATATCAAAATGCTGCAAGATGTTGTTCATTTATGGATTGCTGATGGGAAAGGTTGAGGAATAAATCTTAGATTGCTCAGACACTGGTTCTTATAAAGCTGATGTTCTACCAGTATTTATTAAAAAGGAGAGATATGTGCAAATTTCTTTAGATACGTTCAAATGTCTGTACTGTAATGCAGAAGAAAGGAAATCCTATAATTGGTAGGTGAGTCAGGGTAGTTGGTTCTGAGGGAGACGAAATTATGTTGAGATTGAGTGCCACTTACAGACTGAGAATTTCAGTCCATTTCCAGTGCTGGGAGGCAAGTTTCTGATCTACGAGGAATGCAGCGTTATCAGTGCTATGCTATCTAATCCATAGTTTGCATATCCCTACTCTGCAAATATTTGGTTCTAAGACAGTTCTTAGCCCGGTTACCTCTGTTAATAGGAGATTCTTGACTGAATTGGTATGTTGTTCTTATAAGCCATTAAGGAGGATTGTAGGTGGTGGGTGGTGCGTATGACTTCGGGATACTTGGATATCCTGGGGGTGATAGAAGCATTTTACTGCCATGACTTAGTTTATGTTCAGTACCAAAGGAGTATTTGTAGGTCTAGAGGGCTTTTTGTCTAGACCAAATCCAATAGGAGACTGAAAGCTATGTAAACGTCGATCCCCAAAATAGTTTACATTTGAGAATTTCATCGTAGCATTAGAGTGAGTTGTTGATTAGTTTCAGGAACTCACATTAATTTTTACATAGGAGAAGGAAATAGGTTTGGAGGAGAGCTTGTATAGTGTTCAAGTGGAGGCGGATGATAGCTTATCTTAGAACCCTGTAAACTAAGCAGTGTAGGGAAGTGTACTGTGATTTAGAGGAAGTGTACATTGGAGTTTTTAGTCAGCTCTGCTTGCTGTTATAGACATAGGCAGTAGCTATGTTAATATGTGCTGTTCATTTAAAGGGCTGCCTTTTGGACTTGTGTTATAATATCCTAATTTATGAACCCTTATGACTCTTAAAAAATCGGCCTCTATTTTAGAAAACAGTCTTTGAATAGGGCACAGTTGTCTTGACTTAGGGGGATGCTAATGAGTATGGAAACAGAATTTTCTTCATGTAAGTGCCCCCCCCCCAACCTGTTGATCTATGAATGATGGTAATATTAGCATTCCATAGTATTAACAGGACTTGGCTCATACTCACTCTTTGATTGAGTACACTCAGTTTTAGAGTTAAAAGATTTTAGACTTTAAGATGATGACTCTACCTGGTTGTTAATCATAGTGCTGTGCTTGTTTTTATCCCGTTTGTAGTTTTGTTTTTCTCTTTATAAATTATTGCATTAACTAGTTTGGTTGATGTCATCATGTAAATTTGACTGTTAAAAATGTCCCTCATCACTGGTAGAACTTGTTTTTTATAATGTATATGTATACCAGAGTTACTGTTATTTTAGGGACTCTGTACTATCTTACTTGAATTTGAAGAACTAAACTTTTTCTCTCCAGGATGAGGAGCCAGGATCATACAATCTAGTTGAGAGTGGCCTCAAATTCCTGATCTAATTCTTTCACTCTCCTAAATTCTGGGATTTTAAGGATGCAAACCCATTTCTGATTTGAGAGCTGAGTTTTTATAATGAGAGTTTCAGAGGTTAAGAAATTGCCAGTTTTTTAAAGTCCAAGACATTTCTAGTTAGAAGGTCGAAGGGACCAAGTTTATATGATACTTGACTCAGCAAACATAATTTAATTTTGAAATTCCATATTGTTTTTGATGATAATTGCCAATTGTGTCTCATTTTTTCTTCCTACGATTTTCCTGAGAGGTTGAGAATATTGAAGAATTAGAAGATAGAAATTTTGACCCTTCTAGAGCCCCATTTATCTTTGGGATTCGGCCACACTGCCTGTGCCTTTGTACCAAGACTTGATCTTCTGATAAATGTTTAGAAGATGGTAGAAAATAAGCTATCACATAATACAATTCTGTAAGAACAGTTTGACTATTTTTAGGTACTTTATAAACACTTGGGAACACACTTGGCAGTGTCTTGCCCGCAACATGCTTGCAGTGTGCTGATAGACAGAAAGGAAGTAGATGATTCCAGGACAGTTTGGTGTTTCTGTAGAAATGTGTATGATATCCTGTGAGTTTCATGGGATAGGAGAATGCAACTCATTAGGTTAAAAGACATAAATGAGGGAAAAATTCACTTCGTTGTTCTGTTGTCTGTGTATATGGGTATATGTTTACGGGTGTGTGAACATTTGTCTGGATGAAATCCAGGGAGTTGCATATTCTCAGCAAGTAGATAGATTTACTTTAAAAATCCTGACTTTAAAATTAACTTCAAAATCAATTGAGTTAGTCTTCTTGAGGTTAGACAGTTTAATGATTTAAGACATTTGTGTCTCTCATTTTTTCTCTTTTCCTGCAGTTTACAGTTTAATCACTAAAAAGTCAGTCTGATTCTGAATGAAGACTGCCACTTACTAAAAGTGAATCACTCACTGGTAGTTTACTTATATCATCTTATTCATAGGGTTCTTACGATATTAAATGAAAGAATAAACTAAAGCACTTAGAGTCCATGGGTGTGGTTAGCTGGCATGCTAGCTTTTATTACATTGTACATTATAAACTGTCAATCCTAGTTGACTCGTAATCCTAAATAGTTGAATTTTCTAATTAATTGACAATTGCATGTTTATGACTGTGTAATAAATAGTAGTTCAGAAATATTTATTAGATATATTTTCTATAAAGACGTAGCTAGTTCCAAATATTAGAATATAGTCAAATTAAATGTGTATTAGTGTGGAAACTACTTAAATCCTTCCTCAGCAATGTTGACTGTATTTTAAGATTTTGGAGTTTTTCATATGTAACTTAGAAAAATCAGTGATTCTGTTGAACATGTAGGGCTCGAGAATGGAAGGGAGACACAATTTGGATTCTACTTTCCGTAGACTCCATACCACCAAGTTAGGGTCTGTGTGAGTCTATATTGTAAAACATAAATTATTGGAGTGTTAACCACTTTTAGATGCAAATAAATTAAACTCTTCTGTCTATAGCGTCAGAAAGGGGCCTAGCTATAGAGATGGATGTGTGTGCTAGTATAAGGTGTATTTATTGGCATGCCGTATTTATGTTAGGAAGATCTCTTACTTGAAATGCTTGAGAACAGGTATGTTTCAGATTTAAGATAAGAAAATTAGATTTTTATCTCATGTGTATGAATATTTGCTTGCTTGTCTTTATGAATACCACATGTGTGCCTGGTGCTCATGGAGGTCAGCAGAGTGTGACACATCCCCTGGCACTGGAGATAAGATAGCTGTGAACTTTCCTGTGGGTGCTGGGGACTGATGTTGGATCCCCTACAGGAGCATCAAGTGCTCTTCACTACTGAGCCATCTCTCTGGCCTCTGAGAGTCGAGTATTGGGTTATACACGTAGGTGATGTGGATGTAGATACCATCATGATGGGACTGAGGTTCCAAAAGGGAAATGTGCTCAAATTTCATATGCTTTTTGGCTTTACAGTAACTTCATATGTCTTCAGTCATTTGTGCATTGTATGGGAATTTAGACTTGAGGCATTATGTGCAAAGAACTTTTTTGGGGGAGCAATTTGAATTGTAGCTTTTTGGTTAATGGATTTAGCTAATGGTTCATACATTTACATACACACGCATTAGTAACTTACAAATTGTGATATGTATCTTTAATCTGTATACTTAGAGAACTAAAACTTTCCAGGTATTCATTAAAAACTAATTGAAGAGACGCTATCTATGGTAGTCTTATTTTAAATAAAAATTATTTTGACATTCTATAATTGATCTGTTAAAAGTAGCAAGTGTATTTCTATAGATTGTTGTGTTAACTTTAATGTCTTAAAAATTGACAGGGCTATAAATTTTCAAAAGGCATTTAATAATTATTATTAGTATGTAAATTGGGTAAAATCAAATAACATTAAGACAATAATGGAATTTTAAACATTCTTCATACCAAGCATTCACAAAATTGACTGTCCAAACA